TAAAAAACGTTCTCAGTCTTATAATTGTATTTTCAGTGCGAAAAAGCGTGAAAAACTGTGTGTAGATACTCCGAAACTATCTTCGAAGTTTACGAAAAGTCTACGAAAAGTGCGATCGCTGTCTGCCTAACACTGTTATCAATAATCCGAGCTCCGCGATCGATCCCTTCGAACTTTACGAGAACATCGATAAGTCTTTACAATTTGTGTTTAGGAATGTGAGAACCTCGAATAAATACTGCGATTGCTTTATCAGTTTCTGATAGCTCGTCGAAATGGCGTCGATCGTCGGAGCTCGATCTCGGATTCTCTGCAAAAATTGTTAGTTTGTAAACGTATACAAATATGTCGGGACGCTGTGTACAGTGTATACAATACGAGTATCAAAATTTTGAAAAAGACGCGTGTCGTAAAACGTGATATTTTTCCTGTGTCAGTCGGCTCGCGCCGGGGGATGCATCGAAGGCGAAACAAAGACGGAGGGAGAAAAGTATTTTCGCACTGACGTAACTGGGATCTGGGTGGACCAGGTACCACGATATTAGTTATACTCTACAGGTGGTAACTCTTCGGAATTACAAATTTTGCAGCTTGGTCATTTGGAAAATTTTTAATCAGATATTTAAAGATTGTGGAATTTAGGGATTCAGAAATTTCGGAGCTAATTTAGAAATTTATGAATCTAGCAATTTGAGAATTGGTCCTCTGAAAATTAGGAAGCTTGAGATTTTCAGGCTTTGATAATTTAAAAACTTCAGAATATAGAGAAACTTCAGAGTCTAAAAATGTGGGGATAGAAATTTAAACGCTTCAAAATTTGCAGCTATACATACTCTTATGTCTTATATGGACAAAGTATTTCTATAAATATTATATGAGTTTCTACGAATAATGAATGAGGATGGGTCCAGATCCACCCTGGTCCCTACCCAGTTACGACAATGTGTCTTCGTATCATGGCCACCTTCGACGCGGATCTACGTTCTAGAATATACATATAAACTCGTCTCAGAAAAAGAGTCACCATACTACTGGCAAGTAGAGAAAGCAGACGTCTCGTTCGGCGTCTCGTTCGTTGATCGAATATTTTCTTCTGTCGAAAAGATTTGTACGAAAAGACGATTCGTGGCGAGCAAGAATTATCATATAAAATGTTAATCAAAATGTGTTCTAAAGCCTCGAATCGAGAACGAAGAGGAAGTTCTAACTATACAAAAAAGTTGCTGTATTTCGAAGCACATTCTGCTTGAAGAATAAACAACTTCCTTGCACCGTTTTCCATGGATAATCATTCGTAAACAATTTATACACCATAAACGTTTAATATTCAAGAACATCTATGTTACAAATTGATTATAATATGGTGTTCGTCAGAATTGAAACACGATTGTACAATTCGGTTATCCTTATTCTCCTAGATCTGTTATTCTCCTTACAGAACACAATCTGATCGATTCAGAGTATCATGTAGGTGTACTAAAAATAGCAAAAAAAGAAACAACTTTTGGCAGTGATATTTCCCGCGAATACTTGCGTCAACAACGAGATAGATTTTCCTCTACGAAAGAAAAAACACTCTGAACAATGCAAAAGAATGAAACATATCGTTCGCACGAACGACGACGTCGAACGACTTTCCTCGCTCGCTCTTTTCTTTCTCTTTCTTAGCTTGCTGTGCGTTCTTCATCTCTCTCACACTCTCTCTTTCCTCGCAGCTTTCTTTAGTTGAGCTTCGTTCCTCAACGGCTTTCCTTATCTCCCGTCATTCGCGCCGTTCCGACAATAACATTTTTCCTAGACCGTTCACGAGATGCAAGGTATACAGGGCAGCGGTCATTTAACGAATACAGGAAGACGCCATTTTTCCTTGTTCGTTCAACGAACTTCGCTCAAACCCTTCGCGCTAACGCGTTCGTGCTTCATGTAGTGGCAGTTCAAGATTAATTCTAAATTACTTATGTGACTTTATAGCTTCTTTGAAAGCGTTAATAAATAAATGCAAAGTCCAGTAAAATTTCTTCAAGCAAGATATAACTTGGTACATTACTGTGATAAATATTAATAAGGTTCTTCAGAAAACCTTTGAACAATTGTAAAATTTAAAATCTAACTTAGTAGAACTTTCTCTACTGTGTGTACATTTACGCAAGTGAACACGAACGCGTTAACGACATCTTGTATCGTAGCCTTTCCGAGGGAAAAGTGTCTTTAGTCATTTTAGAACATTCAGACCGAACGATGTCTCAAGCTAAAATCGCATATTATTAAATAAACATTACATGGTCGAAATGATACGAATTTTACAGAGATCTCGCTTGATCGCATGGGTGTAGGACGCCATTAGGACAATACAAAGGAAGTGGTAAAAAAAATAAGACCGCCACTAAGTGATAGCAAGTGCAATGTTGACATTTTTAACAGCTTTGGCCAAGGAAACAAGCATCGATGAGAAACAATTACGGCATTATCAGGCAAAAAATCAGTATACTTATAAGATATGTATAAACAATGAGCATTGTGTCGAATAATGCACAGGCTAGAGCTTATCTTAAGACATTATCTGGTCCGAACGTTTTAATACGAGTAATGAGATCTACTTGTCCTTTCATCTAAGAAAAGCTAATATGGCTGCCCATGAGATGCCCTAAATATTCAAAGAATCGTATGCCCAGAAAGCTTATGGGCAGCCATAAGTTTTTTACTTGTCGACATAAAGCCGCTGCCACGAGGGCAAACTCGTGAACTGCCAACACCTCTCGCGCTCGCTTCTAAACGTTTAAGTAGAAAAAAGAAAGCATTAGAAAAATGAATAAATTGTTAGAGACATTGACACAGCCAAATCTTTGTTTAAACATCTCCGATACGTAACCATGTTCTCCGTACAATCCCGCGAAACGACCCCCTTAAAACCTACATTTTTGTAACTGGGAAGCAATTCGTTCTCCAACCCCTCACCCCCGTTCGATATCGAACCCACTTGTGAACACTTGGTGGATATTGCGATGTGCGTGCACCGGACGAATCCCGTCGCGTGTTCTTCGAACAACCGGAAGTCGTTTGATCAGCTTCGTTTCTCCGCAAAAATTAATCGTACAATAAATATTAAATAAAATTTCCTCGCTCGTCGCGCAAGCTTCCGAGCGTAATTTCCTCGGTTTTCTAATTGCATCGAATGAGTGACCTACGAACAATTAATCGTATACTAAAAGACGAAGAAACTCCGCGAAGACTGACCCAACAAGGATATGCAAAATGGCGGCCGAACACGCGACGGTTTCCCAAATACAATATCTTTCTGCGGGAAAGCTGCGGATACGTGGACCGGTCCACGATCCATCGGCGAGTCGTCCGGTTCTTCGCACAAAATCGAAACGTTTTGCCCTTTTTGGCCGACTAAAGAAAAGCACACATCGTTCCTCCCGATCGAGACTCATCATCGTTGACTTTGATCATCGTCCACGATCCACGGTAACCTAACTACATATTTATACTATATAAACGCGAACATTTTCAGCTCTCCGTCACTTACTCCTGGCTGTGTTTATGTGTGTGTTTCGTGTGCGTGTTCTTGCAGAGGATCTGTTCGATATCTTTCCATTTTTAGCTCCATGGTTTTCGACTGCTTTTACAGGTAGTGGCAGATTTGTTCAAACCTTTCGTTGCAATAGAATTCATCGATTTGACATCGTTCTTTAATTTTCATTACCAACTGAGGTATGTAGATACATTTCTAATATGTTGACTGCTGCATGAACATATGGGGCTCCTTTTTTAAACAAATATATTTTGTCAAAATTTTATGGTATTGACAATAGATTGAAGTTTAAATTTCATGCGGTATTAATTCCATTCTTTACTAAAAAAATATGATTGGTAGAAGACGCGATCCTTTAGCAACGAAAGGTTTAACGCAACTTCAGTAATATCGGTTTGTTGTATCTGGTATCCGTTCCCCAATCAGTGCATGTACAATAATAATAAAAATAAAAAGAAAAACGTCGCGTGTCTCCTCGTTCAGTCCTCAGTTCACATGTACATGCGATAGTAATAATAATAATAATAATATTAATAATAATAATAATAAAAATAATAATATTAATAATAATAATGATAATAATAATTATTATAGTTTCATATATATATAATATTTGTATGTATATATATATAAAATTTTTATGTACACAAGGTAGCCAATGAATTATTACACCGCTCGTTAATATGTCCCAATTTGGATCCCCAAATTTCGCAACACATATATATATATTTACATATATGTATATATATATAAATATATATAGATCGAGCTTCTAGAGAAAAACATCACATTAGATACGAGTCAGTGACCAACAAAAATTCTAACGGTGATCGGCGTTAATTCCGATTTCCCATATAGATCTCAGCCGCGCAAAACGAGGCCGTTCGCGACCCCCACGAGTCGCGATTAATTATATGTATAAAAACTCGGGTTCACGTGCGACGTGGTGAACAATCATCAATTGTCCTAGAAACCATTCTCTCCGATCTAATAATTTTTCGCTCTCACACTGTTCGCGTGTCTCATCTCTCGTCCTGTTCTTTGCTTTCCTTTTTTCTACACGGTAGAATCGAAATTGGCAGCCTATATAATATATATATATATTGCATGTATATATACTATATATATATTTATATATATATATGTATGTGAACGGTTGGTATCCTTATCTCGCTCGAATAATCACTTACACTTTTACAGCGTCGATAATAAAAAGTACTAAGTGGTAGAGTAGTTAATTAATGAATAGATAGCAGCAGCTTCACCTTACACACCTAAGGCGATTATCTTAAAAACGGGTAGCGTAAATTGTTCTGCGGTAATAAAAGTAAAAAGAAACGTGGATAGTCGCTAACGATTATTAAAAAGTCCTTTCACGATTTTACAATACGTTTTCCTAAAACCTACGCGGGTCACGCGGGGACGCTGTCGTCTGTCCCCTTGGGTTTGCTTCGTTTGTTATCCATTTTTTTTTTTCATTTTTTTTCCATTTTCTCTGTGTTTTTCTTTGTGTTTTTCGCGCGTAAGAAATGTTTCGTCGTCGGTACAAATGTGTTTGTTTTGTTTTTCAGTCGGTTTCGCGGCGTCCCGACGCCGCATCGATTTTTGCAAAAAGAAAAAGACTCAGTCCCTCTAACGCTCTCATACTTCGTGGCATCATTCATTCGCGTCTCATTCATCCGATCCTTTTTTTTCGCTCTCGCTACTATTATACCCTTGTTGCCGCAAGAAATTAAAACAAAAGTTCCACAATCGTCCGATTCATTCTCTCGTACTTCGTTTTTAGCGTTGATACATTGTATATATAAAGTCTCTACTCGATACAATCTTAATAGTATGTATAGTCTTCGCCAAAGTCTATCGATGACGCGTTCGCTCCTCGAACCGTGAACATCACGCGGGTTCCGGCGAACATTCAAATACAAAAATGAAACTTCCTGTTTAACCCTTCGTTTGAGTTAGGTCGATTTTTCCCTGTTCTATCTGAGGTATGTTATATGTACATGTACTAGTATGAGAGATGCGTGTACAGTTAAGAAAAATATCTGCTAATCGTTCGGTAATTAAAAATAGCGGTCTCCGGAACTTGGATATGAAAAGACCCCCAATTGCTCACGACTCCTCTTTCTACTCACGTAGATAATTCATTCAAAATAAAGATTTCTATTCTCAGATAGGGTGACTTAAGTCTATCGAAAAATTCTCGAGTGAATATCTTTTTACATAAATCTAACAGAAATGGTCACCCATAACTTTATAAATTTTCTAAATTAGCGAAGTTATTTTCACACAATTTCAAACGAAGAAACATTTCTTAAACTTTAGTCAAACGTATCAGCGTGTACCATATCATGTTCCTTCGTCAGGATTGAGATGAGCTATTGGTCAACGTTTCAAGGTTGTAAGAGTCGTCTTTTCATCCCCATTTCCGGTAGTCTCGTTCCAAGCGGAACATCCCCTGGAAAAATAAAGCTTTCACGGCGCGATTTCTGCTTCTGCGTCGTCCCCGTCTCGAAACGAAGGGTCAAGGAAGCGTTCGACGACGTTTCCGTTAGCACGACGATGCGGTGAACTCGATGTCCGTCGATCCATCGATCAGCCGATACAGTCCATGACGATGATGATCCGATACCTGGCGGTGGTTCACTTGGGCACGCGGTAATAACGCAACACCAGGTAGCCCAACGTGCGGAAAATCACGAGAAACGCCAGGAGAACGGCCGTGTTCGCCCACAGTGGAAGACCAGAACCCCTGGCGCCATTTTGGCTCTCCAGAATCGCGGACACGGGTATCGTCGTCGCGTTTCTGCATTCGGGGAATTTACTTGGTTGTGAGCATCTGGAACAGAAGTGCATTCCACGTCATCGATTTACTCCTTCTTATTTATTATTTTTATATCTCAGAATTTATAGGTCGCCAATTTTTTTTGTTCTTTACATTTTTAATTATCTTTACATTTCTTGGAGAATTTACATTTTTAGTTTTTGAAGCATACAATTTTGTACATTTCTAATTCTTCATAGTTACAATTTTATACTTCTAGTTCATCAAATTTTCAGTTTTCTAAATTTTCAATTCTCCAATCTTACAATTTTCTACATTTTCAATTTTAAAAAATTATAATTTTCTGAATGTTGAACTTCCAAACTTATAATTTTTTAAATGTTCAACTTTTACATTTCCAATTCCTCAACCTTAAAATATTTTACATTTTCAATTTTACAAAGTTATAATTTTTTAAATATTGAACTTTCAAACTTATAATTTTTTAAACGTTCAATTATCATATTCCTAATTCTCCACACTTCAAATTTTGTACATTTCCAATTTGTTAAACTTAAAAGTTTTTTAATGTTGAACTTTTAAATTTATACTCTTCAAGCTTTTAAATTTAAGTATTTGATATTTCTAAATTTTCAGATGCCTAACCCAGCGTAAATTTGATAACACGAAGGCTTTTACGAAAACGGATATTGACAAGACCCTTCAGACTACGATCGCAAAGTATATTAAAGCCGTCATTCAATTTTTTTATCGTCCCCGTCCTTTCCGTTTCTATGGAGTCTGAGATCGATTTTAGCTAACTCGATTAACGCGTTACCAGGATGAGACGTGACCCGAGAACACCGGGGAATTTCACATTATTCCTAAAGTGCGAAGTCTGAAGCGGTTAAGTCTGGGAATTGAATGATGTATGCGCCGTGTCGCGGTCCGGATGCGTTTATTATTTACACGCGACGTTCCTTTAACTTGATTAAAGCAATCCTGTCGGAGACAGCTTTGCGACGATCGATCGTTTCGTGCTGGAATCGTTTCTGAATTTCGTCTCTAATGATAAAAATATTCTGTTGAACTTCTTTCATTACAATTCAGTTATCAATTTTTAGAAACAATTTACATTCATTACAGCTTACATTTATTTTCAATTAATGTACTGTACTTAGAGTCTCCGTAATTGGGACATAGTGTATCCTCCATTTTCAGTCACTTGAGAAGAAAAATTATACTTGGAACTGTGTTTTTAATAATTAAATAGGACAGCGTTACTTAATCACCCTTCTAAAATTTTTTAAACTTCTTATCATTGAGAAAATTTTAATAAGTGTTTAGAGATTTAACCCCTTAACCTACAATTTTCCAGTTGGGTCACTCATAGCTAGCTAATTATTGTAACAAGATAAATAAAGAATTTCAGCGACCCTTATACAGATTATAATTACAATCGAGCCTAAAATTCAATTAAAATATGTCAGTTAAAATACGAGTCCAGCTTATAACATTGTAACTAGTACTGTAGTGCTGTAGTGCTGTACTGTAGAGCTACTATAGTGTGACATTGTAGGGCAAGGGTTTATATATAAAAAAGATATAAAAATGTCGATGTATTTGTCGAAGTGTATTGACACAAATCGACCAGAATGAGGAACGTAATTAGTCGCCCAACTCGCTAGTTAAATAGTGGTAATTGCCGATAAAAAAGAAAATGTCCACTTACGTGATCGGCTCGCCGACGCCGAATTCCAGGATCTGCATGTTCTGGTAGGCGTAATGCACCATGCTGGTGTATCTGGCCCACGCTAACCACGGTGGAACCGCGGTCGCTAAATACCCGCCCAGCAATTGCGTCGCGAGCGTGTAGAGCGCCGAAGCGGTTATGCTCACCTGTAGGTCCAAACAGCAGGCACCAACGAAGAAGCCCACGCTCTGCGAATCAGACATCACTCTTATTGACCCGAAATCGATTTCACGCATCTCAAAAGAGCGGAGTTAAAATATTGGTCCGCAATGTTTGGTAGAGAAGGAAAGATGTAAGAGGGATTTCATCTCGAATCATCGAAATTCGTCAACGAGATCACCGCAAAATCATGCGCAGCGATTCGATCGTGATATTACACACCGGCGTATTGTGAAACACGAGAGTTACTCATTTCCGTCAATAGGTAGGTGGTTTTGAAAGTAAATCGTGACCGCCTTTCATGCTACAATGACTTAGAGTATTGACCGTAGGTGGACAGTGTCGAGGGACAAGGAGAAGGAAGGGCAGGGAAGAAAAAAAAGGAAACCGCGAAATGCTTGGTGTTTCAAGCGATGAAAATAAAAGATCGTGGCCGATTGTGTTACGGCAACGTTGCATACAATAAAGCAGAAAATCTCTTGATAATATGCATATCTAATCATTGCACCGCGTTCAGCGACGATTAATTCGATCGCGGTTACGGACGTTGAAAAAGAAGAGGAAGAAATAAGAGACTTCTTGCGAGTTATTCTTGTACGTTAAAGAGGTTACCTGTGCAACAATGGTGTTGAGCAGCAGGAACGCCAACAGGGTGACGAAAACAGCCGGACTGTGGAAGCCCAACATGGGGTAACTAATGATATGGTAAACTGCAGGCAGTGTTATCGTAAGCGGCAACTCGCCGACCATTTTCGCCAGGTAATAGGCCGAGAGCCGATACGACCCTGACAATCGCTCCTTGTTGATAACCTCGCGTTCTGGAGGAACTGCAACAGAAATGTCAAATTTCCCTATAGATCGCCCTCGCAGATCCTCCGATTTCTGCAACGTCGAGAGATTCACGGACGAACAAACAAGAATCGTTTGACGGAAGAAAATCCTTGGATAAATCGCTTCCCCGTGGAAGCGTTCTCTCTCGAAGCTTATCGAGGGAAACAGGAAGGTCAAACACGTCGAATGCAATTTGTCGCGGATCCTTGAATAATCGAATGTTCGATCTGGGAACAAGAACGGCGAAGGAGAAAGGAAGAATCAAAGAGGATGCTAAAATCGCTTTTACGGCTACGACCCTTTCTGGAGTTCGCTTTTAAAACGTCTACGCCGGGCTGTTTCACTTTCTACGGGGATAAGAGACGACGACTGTAAAACGCTCGCGACTAGGCCGTGACCAACTCTATGCCTAAGTTATGCCGCTCTTAAAATAGGCGAGTGCCTATTAAACTTCTCCATTTTCTCCTTTACTACCCTTTGTTCAAGACGATTTGTCACCTTTTAGCCAACCGGTGCCGTGTTTGACCTTCTGTTTGCTCTTTACGGTACAATCCACTTGTGTCAAACAAGACATTCGCTTGCTGGAAACTTTACTCTCTGTGCAAACTTATGGTTAGTTTTTTTAGGGATCTGGGAGGTCTGGGATGTTTGCTGATTTGATCGTGTGCAACTCAAGATTCTTCTAATTAAGAGAGGGAGAAGAATAGATCATAGGTTTTTTGGAGAGGTCTATCTAGGTCTATTTGGCTTAACCCCTTGCACTATTTTGACGAGTCTGAGGACGCACTCGAACCTTTACTCAAATTTTTACTACGCTTCAATTTGGAGTTCAAGTCTAATTATAATTTGCATAGTTAACGATTGACTAATGACATATTGACGTAACATTTCAATCTTTTTGGTCTGTTTTAATATTGTAGCTGTAATTAGTCAATTCTGACTGACGCACCTGACAAATAAATCATAGTGCAAGGTGTTAAATTCCCTGAGAATCTATGAACCCATCTTAGGCTCTTTTAAGATCTCCATTGTACGCCATCTTTAAGATCCCTACAGGTCCATACTACATTTTCCTTAAAATTCCTATAGAATCTCTCTCCAACCTCTTTTCCTGATTTTTCCTTACAATCCTCATAAAAGTCTCCCATGTTAGCCTAACATACTAGCCCAGCTCCCATCTAACCCCTATTCTAGACTCTTCAAAAATTCCTGTTTCCATGTAGAATCTCTTCCTGCCAATTTGAAAAGATGGCCATGATGGAAAGTTGAAATGCGCGAAGAGGGAGGAGATATTTCGCGAGGCAGTTTTGACGTCTAAAATTCGTGACGCTCGTTTTGCACGGTGGCGAGCGTCGACAAAAGGGCATCCAATTACCCAGATGGATAGTGGGTCACGGCACGACCTACATATACTAACGTTCTTGATTGACCGTTCTCTGGTCCTTTGCAAATCTTTGCAATAAAAAAAAACGGTCTTAAGCTGAATGGCCGATTGAGCGCGTCACGTCGTCGTCGCTCAATTAACCAATCTACCTCATCTGACTGTTCGCTGTTACGCAATCCTTAGGCGAATACCTGAGAACTTTTCGCGCGCGGCTTTCATTCGTCAACCATTCTATTTTCACTCTCGATACATTTTCTCATTGTATTACATTTTTGCGATTTGAAACATAATTCGATTAAATATACAAGTTGATCTTTAAAATCTTTAGGACATAAAAGAGAAAGCTCTTCAAGAATGGTTTCTCTAAAACATCACATTTTTAAAAATTAAATATAGTTTGTTAATTTAAGGATCACATATGAGGTTCAGTTTAGATTCCAAGTCACATATGTGTACGTTATAAATTCTTTCAAATATATAAGTTGATCTTTAAAATCTTTAGGACATAAAAGAGAAAGCTCTTCAAGAATGATTTCTCTAAAACATCACATTTTTAAAAATTAAATATAGTTTGTTAATTTAAGGATCACATATGAAGTTCAGTTTAGATTCAAAGTCACATATGTGTACGTTATAAATTCTTTCAAAATTATTTAAACAACTGTTGCAAGTTTAAAATAAGTAAAATTAAGGCATTGAATGATTTCTTTTTCGAGCACGAAGAGGGTCATCCCTGAAGAGGTTAAATCGATTAAAAAGAGATTGCAGAATAACCGGGAGGAAAAGAAAGACGATGCCACATGTGTGGCCAGCGGTTGTCGAAGTTAAAAAGAAGTAAAGGCATATATGTTAGTTTCAGAAATAACAAAAAGAAGAAAGTCGAGGCTTACAACTGGAGAGTGCGCTGAAGTGTGCGAACAGCATCCAATACGTGGTGCTGAAGAACATCCAGCCTTGAATGTCGTGAAGAGCTGCTTCGGTTCTGGGAAGCCTCAGCCACAGCAGTCCAGCGAGTAAACCTAAGGCTATCGTTTGCAGCCAATTCAGACGGGACAGCATCCGCGGCCGTGCCTCTTGAAAGTTTCTTTCTGATAATACCTGAAAATCAATAGCACCGTTTAGAATCTGCAGACAATTCCTTAGGAGAAATACCATGAATTTACAGGAGAAATACGAAGCTTCCTTAGAGTTGAAAAATCGAACACAACTCGTCTTAAGTAGATCTGATCTTTAATTTCAATATGGATTAATCAACCTATTAAGACTTTGTCAGTGGTGGAGGTATAACCGCAATATCAATCATAATCGAAAGTTACGTTAACTGATACATAATTGAGAAATCGCTTAGAACATCTGACTCATTAGATTGCTGAACCTTTGACGCCGCTGGACGTTGACTGACAATTAATGAAGTTTTTCACCGTTCGAGGGTTAGAAGCGTATTATTGAAGTACTGGCATCGATTAAGATAAGAAATCGAATCTAGTCTGATTGCACCGATCGTCCGTCGATAATTGAGTGATTAACGATAGCGAGTTCCTCTTCGTTGCATGGTTAAATGTCTCTCGTATATAGTTGTAATTTAAAGAGGCCTTCGAAAGCAGCATTGTGAAACTTTTGCGTTCTATTTCCTCACGGCCGCTGATATAATTGAACTGCACCAAAGAGGTGTACCGTGCAACCTTGCATTGTGACATTGTCGTACATTTGTTATGAACATGTGATTAATAACCAACATGATTGGGTTCAACTCTTTTCATTCATTTATAGGTCATTCAATTTTATTTCACTACCTTCGCGCATGACGAAAGATCCAGACCATGACTCAAAAATTTATGTGTCTATCTTTGGTGTTACTTTCGTACTTTCGTATTTTACTATTTTGATGATTTTGATACTTTGGTACTTTGGTATTTTGGTATTTTGGTATTTTGGCACTTTGGTATATTGGCATTTTGGGATTTTGGCACTTTGGTATTTTGGCACTTTGGTATTTTGGCACTTTGGTATTTTGGCACTTTAATATTTTAGTACTTTGGTATATTGGCACTTTGGTATTTTGGGACTTTAGTATATTGGTACTTTGGTATATTGGCACTTTGGTATTTTGGCACTTTGGTATTTTGGTACTTTGGTATTTTGGCACTTTGGTATATTGGCACTTTGGCATTTTGGTACTTTGGTATATTGGCACTTTGGTATTTTGACACTTTAATATTTTAGTACTTTGGTATGTTGGCACTTTGGTATTTTGGTACTTTGGTATTTTGGGACTTTAGTATATTGGCACTTTGGTATATTGGCACTTTGGTATTTTGGCATTTTGATAGTTTGACATTTAGATACTTTGGCACTTTGGTACTTTGGCACTTTGATATCTTGGCATTATGGTACTTTGGCACTTTAGTGCTTTGGCATTTTGATAATTTGGCACTTGGTACTTTGGCACTTTGATGTATCGATACTTTGTTATATTGCTGCGTTGCTACTTTGTAACATTGATATGTTGTTACGTTGCTACTTTGCTACTTTGACACTTTAACATTTTGATACTTTGCTATATTGCTACATTGTTACATTGACATTTTGATACTTTGTTACTTTGCTACCTTGTTACTTTGACATTTTGATACTTTGTTACTTTGTTACCTTGTTACTTTGACATTTTGATACTTTGCTATTTTTCTACCTTGTAACTTTGACATTTTGATACTTTGCTATATTGCTACATTGTTACTTTGACATTTTGATAGTTTGCTATTGTGCTACATTGTTACATTGACGTTTTGATACTTTGTTACATTGTTACCTTGTTACTTTGACATTTTGATACTTTGCTATATTGCTACATTGTTACTTTGACATTTTGATACTTTGCTATTTTGCTACCTTGTTACATTGACATTTTGCTACTTTGCTACTTTGGCATTTTGCTACTTTGCTACTTTGCTACTTAAGCACTTTCATACTTTCCCATTTTCATTCCCGCAATCTTCCATACTTTCATATCTTCACACACAGATATTTCGCTCGAAGCATCTTTCACGACTAGGTCACACATTACCAACGAAACGAGAAGACGATAATTGACTTTTCAGTCGATACAGATTACAGAAAAAGGTGAAACTTTCGCCGCCATTGTTCCAGCAAGAATCGACATTGCTGAAAGACGACCAGTCGAAGAGGAATGTCTACGCGGAGTAAAAGTGATGCAAGTGACGAGATGCGTTCACATCCACAAAGAGCAGCATCGCGAACGGGCATGCTGCTCGCGGTAATTATCCGGATATGGCGAATCGTGTAAACGCGACCTAGTTCTGCTTTGTACATGCTCGATTCTCTTTTTTCCCCGAGCGACAATTTTTCTCGTTTCGAATTCCTTCTCTTCGACCATCCCGCCTTCGATTGTCTACGATTCGATACGCCACGTACCGACCACGGCATTTTAATGAACCTATGTCACGGTAATTAGAGGAAATGTCTGCATAATATGTTATCCGCACTTGTTGAAAAACTGTGTTTTCATTAAGGTGAAATATGTGACAGTTATCGATGTACTGCATTTATTTGCTGTGTTGTTATCAAGTTTCTGTAATTATAGTCGCTTGATAATCGCCCGCTTTCGGGGCTCTGGAGACAGGTCCAAACGAGAAGCTTTTGAGCACTGAACTTTTAAAATTTTTGAGCACACGACAAATGAGAGATCTTCATTAAAGCATTAGAAACTAGAAAGTACAAAATTCGGAGCATACGGGAAATTATGCAGCGGAGATTTACACAGCGAGAAATTACGACGACAACTATGACTAAAATTTTAATTATGTAAGTTTAGTTACAGCGGTAAATTAAAGTTGATGAATGCAGTTCTCTCTCGTGTTTCATCCGAACTATTAAATTACGAGAGGAAATGTTCGACAATCAAGAAAATTCCTTAGGAGTAAAAAGTCTCGACGATTAAGTCAAAGCGTTACGGCACGAAATTAGCATACGATAAACGCTCTAATCTATGGATCATAATGATCTCGCATCGATTAACAGTCACAAAGCGTATCCGTCTTCCGAGGATTAATGAGAACGTTACACTTGAATCCTGATGTCATTCTAATTACCCCAGACCATTATCTCGCTGGAATACCAGAACACTCATCTAAATTTTCATATTACCACTGCATGCTCTATTAATCGCGTCGCGCAATCGAACTTTTCGATCTCTCCTTCGGCAGCACGTTCGATGGAAATACGAAACGGTGACAACGAGCTGTGTGAAATCACGCGTTGCTATGATATATAAGGTTATATATTGTAATCATTAGCTGCTGGTATTTTAACATTTGTTAAAGTTAACGTTTGGCCTAGTTTCACCACGATCGCACGAAGGATACTTTATATAGCGATACTACTTCTTTCATACATTATACATTATGAATATCGATGAGTCGTTTATTTCTATTAAACTCTGAACTTTAGATTGATGTGCTGTCGACTGCCATCTTGTGATTTTTTCATGTCAATCACCTCGGAATTTCTTTTGAAATCGATTATTGTTTTTAATAATCAAGAATTAAGCATTTCATGGGAAGAATATTAACGTAGTCTTCTTTATTAAAGTTATAATTTAAACTTGTCTGCATACGCCATTTTGTGTCATCGAGTTATTTCAGCATTTTCGAAATCGATTATTGTTTCAATAAAAATGTAGTCGTTTCTTGGTAGAAATGTCAACAAATCATTTATGTAGTCTTTTTTATTAGAGTCTAAGCTTTAAATCCATGTACCATGAGCGCCATTTTGTGAATCTTTTATGTCATCATATTAGCTGAGAATATATATACTTTCAAATCAGTCATTGTTCGTTTCAATCAAGAATTAATTATTTTATAGAAAGTGTATTAACAAATCCTTTACGTAGACATTTTTACTAAAGCCTAACCTTTAAATCCATGTACTATAAGCGCCATTTTGTGACTCTTTTATGTCATCATATCACCTGAGAATGTATTAATACTTCTTAATCAGTCATTGTTCGCTTCAATCAAAAATTATTTATTTTACAGAAAGAGTATTAACAAATCCTTTACGTGGGCGTTTTTATTAAAGTCTAACCTTTAAATTCATGTACTATAAGTGCCATTTTGTGACTCTTTTATGTCATCATATCACCTGAGAATGTATTAATACTTCTTAATCAGTCATTGTTCGCTTCAATCAAAAATTATTTATTTTACAGAAAGAGTATTAACAAATCCTTTACGTGGGCGTTTTTATTAAAGTCTAAACTTTAAATTCATGTATCATAAGCGCCATTTTGTGAATCTTTTATGTCATCATATCACAAGAGAATGTATTAATACTTCCAAATCGATCATTGTTCGCTTCCATCAAGAATTAATTATTTTACCGAAAGAGTATGAACTAATCATTTTCATAGACCTTTTTATTAAAGTCTAACCATTAAATCCACATTCCATAAGCGCCATTTTGTGGCTCCTTTATGTCCTCAAGTCATGACAGCGTTACTCTGTTTCAAAACTCATTATTGTTCGATGTAATAGACAGTCAGCCATTTTATATCACGAACATCAAGAAAAAATTTATAAAGTTATTTCTATTAAACATTAAGCTTTAAATTGACGTATCATAAGCGTCATATCTCGATACTTTTATGTCAAATATTGGAATAGATTTAATATGCAGTAACTTGATTTATAATTGAGAAGGCGATGTGCTTCTAATCGAAATTCTCTCGTGTTACGTATCGTCTGATCATTGCGAAAGTTGAATCTCAATTAACAAAAGGTACCTACGTGGTCGGTGTCACGACTTTCTGCTGCAACGGTGAAGAAATAAGGTATCATTAAAAAAACAAAATGAACCGGACTCCGTTCCGTTATTTCTCGAGAAGTGACGTCAGTTTAGCAATTGAAAGAATCGTCGCGAAATCATTCGGTTTGATGCTCCGGTTCTTGATCACTTTCTCATTTCACTTCTTTCACCGGGCTGCGACTTTTCAGCAAAATATCTCTTCTCGACTTATAATTACTAAATTAAGATTCTACTATATTGCATTAAAAATTGTATGGAATTATTGTATTAAACTGTATGGAAATATAAATTGTATTAAAATTTTAGATTGTATTAAAGAATATTGTAAGCAAAAGGTTGCGTTCTAATTTTATATTCGAAAGTAAAAATATTACCATGTCCATGTTAATTTAGAGTATGATCATATTATCAAGTTCTAAGTAAAAGATACTTTCAAATAATTTTTTACATGATCTTATGAACGTTATTTTCGCAAAATAAAATTTAAAAGAAGCTTCGTTCTCCCTTAAATTCTGGATCCCCTTTGGAGGCTAACATAGTAGCAATATCGAGAATAATACTCACTTTGAATTGCGACCAGAAACTGGTGGGCCACTGCCAGGAATAGTCCTCGTCCGCCGAACTGGCACTGCTGCTGGCATGGCTTTGTGTGTCCAGCCACAATGTACGACCTTCGTCTTCTTTCACTGTTTTATCAACGAAACACAAAGATTATTGTCTCTAACATCGATACAGTTCCAATGAATATCGGTCATTCGATGTACGAGCCGAGATTACGGGGAGGCAGAAAACGAAACAAAGAATCATCCCCTTCGGGTCGACAGACTCGCGTGAAAAACATTCCCTGTTATTGCCAGAACGTCCATTTATTAAGCGTTAATCGAACAGCGCCAGAGGAAATATTCGACCAAAGAGATACGCGTTATTAGCTGATTACCGGCTAACAATGATTCGCATTCATTCGACGAACGCGAACACGTGTTTAATAGGCGATCGGTGACACTAAACGATCGACGAATTTATTATTACTAGCATTATTCAATTCGTATCGAACACGGTGATTGACACGGTCAAAACAGCCAAATGCAATTAATATTCTGTGGTCTATCAACGCCGCACATATTTGCAATTGTTCGTTAAATATTTCGACGTATAAATTACCCGAATATTATGACAATTTTAGCACGTTTCAATTTTACTTAGAATAAATTATAATATTATAGAATAGTTTCTGTGTGAAGTTTAAGATTTTTAAAAATGGTTACGTGTTCATACAATACATTATCGTATCAAATATTTGCAGAACAGTTACGTTTCTCGATAAACAGCTGAGATTCGAAGATAAAAATTATACATTTTAGGAAAAAATTCAGACTAAGCTTTATTTGAGTTGTCCTCCAATGTTTCAGAATTTTTAACTTATCTTTCTATTCTTTGTTTTAGAACCTTTGCACTCCTATGTCACATCACATGTCTTTTAAAAACAATTCACATGAATCATTATATTTTCATTTACATTTTCGTTTACCTTTTTATTTACATTTTCATTTACATCGTATTTGCTAATAAAAAATTTCTCACCTACCAGAAAACCTACCAAAGAAACGGAGTGCAAAGGGTTATGAAAAGGTTCTTAGGAACAGTTACGCGTAAACGTAATACCGTTGTGGCTGATGTGATGTTCATGATAATGGATGAGATGGTCGCAGAGCGGATGTTGGCTGGGATTATATTCCGGACGAAGTTCCGGCGGGCAGTCAGGTCCCTGTCTCGCGTTCCTCGCGGCGGCTACGATACGCTCCCGAACCTCCTCTGGACCCTTTATTTGTTCCACTGAAACAATCATGCCCAGCCATGTACAAACTTATCGTTGAACGATGCAATCCGATCATTATTGCATATTAACCGTCCCATTATTACTGTCTCGATGAGAAATTTATTTCCCTTCTCGCAAACAAGAGGTCACATTCTATTTTCATAAAACTTGAAAAATATCCAGTCATTCTGGCAAATAGTTTGTTTTGTAGTAACTCTGTGTATCTTTTGATAAACGGGTTGAAGTAGCTTTAGATGAAGTTGATAACAGCAAGAGTAGTGGAACTTTTTGCTAACTTTCTGATGTTTGAATTATACTGTGTGGCTGTACGTATACTCATATTGTATGATGTTAGTTGGTTAGGTTTATTTTTATTGGTATGATCACCCAATATGAAGATGAAATAGCGTTATGTCATTGAATATCAATGTTGAATAAAATTTCTTGTTAAAATACTAGCTGCTTCGACTTCATTATAAAACATGCTGGAGAATGAATGGTACCAATAAATTTAACTTAGCTAGGTATTTGTATGGACATATACAGTGTAATTTTATTAAGTATCTGTCTGTGCTTACTGACTTTAATTTTCACAATTTGTCCATACTTATTGAGTACCATTGTTATAAATTTAACTTTGCTAGCTATCTGTCTGGACATATACAGTGTAATTTTATTAAGTATCTGCCTGTGCTTACTGACTTTAATTTTCACAATTTGTTCATACTTATTGAGTACCATTGTTATAAATTTAACTTTGCTAGCTATCTGTCTGGACATGTACAGTGTAATTTTATGAAGTATCTGTCTGTACTTACTGACTTTAATTTTCACAATTTGTCCATACTTATTGAGTATCATTGTTATAAATATAACTTTGCTAGGTATCTATCAGTACACACATGGTACAAGTTTGCTAAGTATTTGCCTGTGCTCATCAAGTATAATTTTGACAATCTGTCTACACTTACTGAGTACAATTTTACTGAGCACTTGTCTGTATTAAATATAAGTTTGCTAGGTATCTGTCTGTATTAAGTGCAAGTTTACTAAGTATCTGTTTGTGTTCATCAAGTATAATTTTGACAATCTGTCTATACTAACTGAGCACAATTTTACTAAGCACTTGTTTGTATTAAATATAAGTTTGCTAAGTATCTGTCTGTATTAAGTACAAATTTACTAAGTATCTGTCTGTGCTCATCAAGTATAATTTTGACAATCTGTCTATACTTACTGAGTACAATTTTACTGAGCACTTGTCTGTATTAAATATAAGTTTGCTAGGTATCTGCCTGTATTAAGTACAAATTTTCTGGGCATCTGTCTGCACATACAAGGTACAATTTTGCTAAGTACCTACCTGTGCTCATCAAGTATAATTTTGACAATCTGTCTGTACTAACTGAATACAATTTTACTAAGCACTTGTCTGTATTAAATATAAATATACTAGGTACTTGTCCATACTAAGTATAAATTAGCTAAATACCTGTCTGTACTAAATTACCTAAAGAATCACCTAAATATAAATTACCTAAAGAATTACCTAAATATAAATTACCTAATGAATTACCTAAAGAATTACCTAAAGAATTACCTAAAGAATTACCTAAAGAATTACCTAAAGAATTACCTAAATATAAATTACCTAAAGAATCACCTAAACATAAATTACCTAAATTACCTATAATATAAATTACCTAAAGACTAGCTATCTATCACTAACTACTCTGTCAAATATATTTGAAACTTACATATAAAGTCTGCAGGGTTATAATGCGGCAGCAAGGTGAGTCCTATCGTGGAGAAAAACCTGCCGACATTCGAGGTCGAGCCGTAATATGCCACCTGGCCCCGGCTCAACAGAAGAAGCTTACTGAAACTGTGAAACATCCTGGAACTGGGTTGATGCACCGTCACTACGATGCTCTTGCCTTCTTGTTCCGCGTACTTCTTCAGCCGTGAAATTAACGCCTGTGCCGAGTGCGAGTCCAGCCCGCTCGTTGGTTCCTACCGAACAACAATCTCTTCTTCAAACTTCCATTAATCATTATCTAGTACTCTAACTTCACGGTCTCATTATACCACATTTTATACGGTAATTAGACATCGGGAGATCCCGTTACTTATGCAAGTTTCAGACAAAACTTTCGTCATTTCGGAAGGAAGGTTATGAAGGTTAAATTAGTTTTATAATATTGTCTGATGTAGCTTGCTATTCTGTCACGAAAGTACTAAACCACTTATGGCCAGATGAGTGAATTTAAAAAAGGAGAATTCTCTTTTATTTTTGCTAAATAACTTATCTTCTGGAACCATGTAACTTTTGCCTAAAACATGATTCTGCATAATTATGCATAAGTAAAATATCAATATTTTCTATAAAGTTTAAATGTAAAAATCTAAAAATGTCAACATGGAAATTTCAAGATAATAAAAATAGAAACCAACAGTATAAAATAGCTTACGTCCAGCAACATCAGCGATGGATTGGTGAGCAACTCGCAGGCTATGCTAGTCCTCTTCTTTTCACCGCCAGACAGTCCCCGTTTCGTGTAATCTCCGATAACTGCAAATAAAAGCAACTAATCTAGCTGGCAATTACACTACAATATTTCTAAATCAAGCTTCAATTAAACATGTTAAGAATTTAATAGTGCTGTGACCATGTCCTTCCTGAATTGATTAAAAATTCCATTGCAATCTAAAGCGAACGAAATACCCATTTCATCGAACGTGGAAAAATTGTTTCGGCCGACACGAAATTGAATTACAAACGCGACAGTGCGTTGGGAAATTCGATTGAAGTTCGTTCCATGGTACGATTAAATAAAAATTCATCGGCGTCGGCGAAACTCTCTGGTGGCGAATAAAATGTATTTTCGTCATTTTTCTTTTGTTCGTCGTTATGTAAAAACCGTTCAATATAAAATAAACGACTATCACGCTATGCAATCTTTTTCAATTCCCTTTCACTTTTTCGTCGATAATTTCAGCAAGGGTACAATGTTCGATGCAATATTTTTCTACATATTTCAACTTTCAAATATAGTTTGTTAGTAATAATACGGTTCGTAGTAAACAAGAGGTACGTAAAGTCCAAGGTGTTTAATTAAAATCTAGAGAGAGCCGCAACGGGGTCAATAACGAACAGTCTGGGTCTGGCTTAACGACGAAAGGTGAATGAGCTACGATCACGGAAATCGTCAATCAAAATCGTGGCGACGACGACGTCCGGTTCAGTGAAATGCACCGCCGGCTAAAATCGTTTCTTTACCGGTGGAAGTCGTAAATCGTTACACGGCTTTCTAGTTTCGCGTTCGTAAACAAATTACCGTGAATTTACGTGGGTGCATCGCGAGACAGGATAGTAACACGAACTGCTAGACTCTGCTCTCGATCCAGACGCCTTTGATCTTCGAGAAAACGGGATCACAGAAATCGTAAAAATCGATCGTCTCACAGGTATCCTAAGTATCGTCTACTGCTAACGAATTTGGGTTTTGAGGTTATTCATAAGACTGGCAAAAATGTAGAAGTCACTGTAATATTTAATTTGAAAAATTTACTTGTATTAACACAAAATTGTAAGTTAGAGAGTTACTTACTATGAGTTAGAGTTAATAAGTTACAAGAACTATAAGTTATATAATTCTGGTAAAATGCTTTTCGTTCTGCATTGATTTTTATTAGGACAAAGAATTAATACTTATATGATTTGATTTTTAGTACATTTATTTTTCAACTTCATTTTCAATTTTAAATTAAGTCCTCATTATACGTAGGTTAAGATTTGTAGCTGGTTAAGATTATATAGCTACTGCAGAGTATAAATGACCAGAAATTTAGAGAGATTGATGTTGAATTACAGATATGACTTCTAGTAAAATTTTCTGTGACTGTAATTTATGTAACATGTATTTAACTTGAAAAATTTACTTGAGTTAACTCAAAACTACCAAGATAGTCATTTGATCACTTCACAAGCTTCAAACTATAAGTTGCATAATTCTTGTAAGATGTTTTTTTTGAAATCAGTGTGGATTTTCATCAAGATAGAGAATTAATACTCATATGATTTTATGCATAGTTTATTTATTTTTCAACTTCATTTTCAATTTTAAATTAAGTCCTCATACGAAGGCTTAGTGTTAAGATTACATAGCTACTGCAGGGTATAAATGATTAGAAATTTAGAGAGATCCATGTTGAATTACAGATGTGACTTCTAGTAAAATTTTCCGATAACACAAAGTAAAAGAATTATAATCGTAAAGATGTCGTATTGATATGTGTACTTACTGGTATCTTGGCAGCTGGAGAGGTCGAGGACCTCGATGATGTGATCCACGCACTGCATCTTCTGTGAGTGCGAGAACGTGTCCGGAAGCCTGAGCCTCGCCTGGTACTGGAACCCACGAGAAAAGAAAAGGGAAGATCAAGCAAGCGAATCTGCGAGACGAGGTGGTTTACGGAAAACGCCTTTAACCGGGTTTACGCGTTAAACATCAACGTAAGCTGTCTGCATGGACGTTTCCGTTCCGTAACATCCAGGCCACTGTCTATTATTACCATCTGACACGCACCCTCTGGCCCCGAGGGAAGTTACTACTAATAGTGATCGATCGAATTTATTATTTTCGTGAGCGAATGCATCGGAGAGGGAATTGCATAATGCGGATCCGAGGAAGAGGAAGCTCGAAATGGCGCGGCGAGCCACACCTTTGTCAACTCGGCTAGAATCGAGCCACCATTGGCCGTACGCGATTCTGCACGTAGTGCACGAACTTTCCTTCATGGTAAAACGCGTTCACGTGCATTCGATAATTCGGGGACACGCGAGGAGTGAAAGAAAACGCTTGGCGCTTAGCCTCTCCTTTCGGTTGATTTTGGGTCAATAAATAAGCCTGACAAATTACGCGTAAATCTTCTTTGTTTCTTTCGAAATCATTCTTAGACTTATTGTCTAAACACTTTTGTGTATATTTAGTTTATGTGAAGCCTGGAAAATATTTAACACATGAACTGCCATGTTGAAGCATTAGGTAGCAACTGAAAATTGGTAGAATTTTCATTTTTAATTTTACCAAATATCTTTACAGAGTCTTATTATATTTATTTTTCATACAAATAGTTAAGACGAGTATCTTCAATTAGGTAAGAAGACATATTTTTAATAATATAGCTAGTAGATCTGTATGGTAATTGAAATTCCATCCACATATGGGTGACATGGCAGTCAAAGTGTGGCATTCATCTTTTCATGACTTCATCATGTTTTCATGTGAAGAAAATTTTAGTACGCAACTGATAGTTTGAAAATGAATAGAAAAAATAGAAACGAAAATGAGAGTGAATTAAACATGAATTCCAGGTATTCGGATCATAGACTTTGTACACGTTTGTTAAAGATAACGGCAGGTATAAAATCACCGAGTGTTCTTGGGTGGGCTTTTAAAATTCTATTATATGCCTGATTAATAGTCCCACTTAACCGTTCCAACGAAAGAACGTGCAACCGTATGGAACGACTGATAATGGCTTTTGACGCAGTTGGTCAACTTAAATCAATGTAAAGCAGCCAATTAAACGGCCCATTGTTTCCCAGCCACCTCTTTGGAATTCCGCTCGAACGAAACCATTAAACAGCTTAATGAGAGGAAATTTCATTCTCCGTTCGAACGACACGATTTCGCAGCTTTCTGTAACCTGACAAGCACCATTTTATGGAACTTATCATCCGTAAACCGTTCGTTTTATCGATATTGTACTAGTGCAATGTAACTTTCTTCGGTACACAAAAATAGTTTTACTAGTGCTGTCTTGGATATTTATTATTCATGTATGATTGGGAGCAGTGCTTTGACCGAGGGCCAACTTGTGTCAATTTCTTGTATTAATCTTATGGATATAAAGAGAACTTGAGGAAGATTGTAGAGGACCTAGAGAGAATTTTAGGAAGCTTTAAGTCTTGAGAATTTTGGTGAAGATTGAAAAATCTAAAAGAAGTAGAAAGTACGGGGAGAATTGTAGACCTATGGAGAATCTAGAGAACTGGAGGAGAATTTTGGAGGATCTAGAGAGAATTTTAGGAAGCTTCAAGTCTTGAGAATTTTGGTGAAGATTGAAAAATCTAAGAGAAGTAGAAAGAAGGGGAGAATTGTAGACCTATGGAGAATCTAGAGAACTTGAGGAGAATTTTGGAGGATCTAGAGAGAATTTTAGGAAGCTTTAAGTCTTGAGAATTTTGGTGAAGATTGAAAAATCTAAAAGAAGTAGAAAGTACGGGGAGAATTGTAGACCTATGGAGAATCTAGAGAACTGGAGGAGAATTTTGGAGGGCCTAGAGAGAATTTTAGAAAGCTTGAAAACTTGAGAATTTCGGAGGAGCTAGAAACCCTAAGAAAAGTAGAGTGTAAAGGGAGAATTGTAGACCTATGAAGAATCTACAGAACTTGAGGAGAATTTTGGAGGATCTAGAGAGAATTTTAGAAAGCTTGAAAACTTAAGAAATTTGGAGAAGCTAGAAACCCTAAGAGAAGTAGAGTATAAGGGGACAATTGTAGACCTATGAAGAATCTACAGAACTTGAGGAGAATTATGGAAGACCTAGAAAGAATTTTAGAAAGCTTGAAGACTTGAGAATTTTGGACGACCTAGAAACACTAAGAAAAGTAGAGTATAAGAGGAGAATTGCAACCCTATGGAGAATCCAGAGAACTTGAGGAGAATTTTGAAGAGCCTAGACAGAATTTTAGAAAGCTTGAAGTCTTGAGAATTTTGGAGGACCTAGAAACCCTAAGAAAAGTAGAGTATAAGAGGAGAATTGTAGACCTATCTAGAGAACTTATAAAGAATCCCTACTACTAAGGGAGGATCTAGAGGACCTAAACATAACTTTGAAGCTATAGAATAAAACAACTAATCTCCAGAACGAAATTATGACAAAAAGCTCCCTATCGAATAGCTACCCATAATAGTAAAAATTTGACAACAAAAGTAATTTGGTTTCCGTTCCTGCCTACTCGGTTCGATGGCGCCAGACGGCAAGTGTGAACGCGGCTTAAAGGTACTTCGGCGGTCGACACACCCTGCGACCAACGCGGATGGACGTGCCATTTTCTCGACGGCCGAGTCCGTTACACAAGAGGATCCGTTATGCGGAGAGAGAAAGTGGCGGCCGATGATATTTCGCGGCTGGTATAGCGGTCATCTTCTCGGCCAGGAGGAAACTGGACTACTGGGAACAACGACCGTGAACATTGTAAGCCGTTGCTGAATTTCTGACGATGACGAGATAAACGGAGAAAAGGGAAAGTGAAAAGACTCGGAACGTCCAGATGGACGATGAGTTTGGAGAAATGATAAATTGATCAGAAACAGACCCCTTGGTTCTGAAGTTACCCTTACAAATCGCTTCTCTTGTTAATTATTAATTGTAAAGATTCTTTGTTGCGGAATATAATTTATTTGTCTTGTTATTGAATAATGAATTAGGCATAAAGGTTGAAGGCTTTATGCAGGTATGAAGGTTAGGTTACGTTGAAGCGACATTCAAAGAAAGATTTGTATGACATCCACAGTGGATTACATGATTTATAAATAATATAAATAACATTGTGTATTTATTTTATAAACTCAGATTACAAACGCACGAACATTTTACAGATTAAGAATTGAAGCTGCAGGAATTTGTAAACTCGAGAACTGCAATAGTAGGCTCAAATAAATCGCCCCTATTTGGAAGAAGGGTGTAACCCAACATTTATCAGCGCGAACCCCTATTGCTCCCGTAATTTCCCTCCCACTCATTTGCATCGAATTCATTAAGAGGCGGCTGATTAACTGCGTGGTCCGTTCAATTTCAGACTTCAATGGCAACGGCCGCGCGCGATCTACGACACGTTTAAATCCTCGAAACGTGAACGCTTGGCTCCTGGCCCGCATTCTACGCGATCCTAAATGCGCGATGTCCTTCTAATTTTCTCTTCGACCGCCTTCGTAAATTTCGCGGAACTTGGCACGCTGACCCGTCAATGTTCTTGGAAAACAAGGAAATTGGTCCGTGGGTCATTCACGTAAACTAGACAGGGGTTACGGTTATGCGGACGTTTCCTATTTTACTGAAATTCTTCGCGTCTGACCATGCTCGACCGCTTCTACTTACGCTCGAACAGGTAAACGTTCGTCTATTTCTCTTTACATTCTTTCATGAGATGTTTATCAGAGTACTATTTTGCTAAATGGCCTTGTAATCATTTTTTGAGCTAATTTTGCAATTGAAGAAATTGAGCTAAATTTGCAATTAAAGAAACAACTGAGTTAAATTTGCAATTAAAGGTATCTAGCTAAATTAATAGCTAAATTTGCAATTAAAGTATGCGAATGACTCTGAATTTTGGATTGAAGGGATGAAGTATAGCATTTTCTTGAATCATAAAAAATAAATAAAATTCAAATTGCACAATCAGCATTCAACTTGCAAACAAGCTTGTAAAGTATACATTAACACAGAAAACAAAATGTAAATATTGTTTTCAAATAGAAAGCAGAATGAACACCATGTGTATGCACAGGAAGTACAAAACAAGAGTATCAAATTTCTGCAGTAAATTCGAAATTGCTCCTTCCACTACACGCATCGTCGGGAATTAACACGTTCGCGTACAATTGCGTCGATTTACCTATGCCATAAAGACGTCCGCTTCAGAGAGGAGCGGTGTTGAATGTACCGTAACAAATAGCTTACAGAACGGCGGAACAAATGTTGGGTCTAATCGCAAGTTGCAATTTAGAGGTACGAATATTCCGAGCGCTATTTCGAGTAGGGTAAATTCGCGTGGATAAGGAATTTTCGATCAAAGCCGCGCTTTAAGATTGAACTCACCTCGAGAGTCTGGCGCAGCGTGAGATCGGGAAAGAAAACGTCCTGTTGCTGAACGTAGCAGATTCTTCTGCGCCATCTTTTTGTCAGTCTTTCGCGATTCAACCAGATTTCACCCCCGTCGACGCCCACTCGGCCGGACAGGCAATTCAACAGTGTCGTTTTGCCGCAACCTATAAGAGAAAACAAACAGAGATTATTATACACCATTAGACGCAGTCAAAAAAGACAATTGAAAGTTGTAATTTTCTGGGGGAACGAAAAGTGGAACGAGAAGAATATTTTTCCTCTAAGAATGACCGAGATAAATTTGGATCGATGAGAATTCCGACGATAACTGGGTGAATTCGTTTAAAGTTAATTGACTCAATCGCTATTATTCTCGCGAATGCTCGTGAACCCGATCGAGTTTCGGCGCTCCTCTATTGGACAATTTTGCGGTTGTTTGCGTCATTCGTTCATTTCGTCTCGCGTCTCCTCGAACCTTCCCGTAATTCGTTTTCTCTGCTCACGGCTGCTATTTGTGAACGAACGTGCACGCATCGGTTCCTCGCTAGTTTCGGCATTCGTTGCATTTTGCAAGGTTCATCAACACGGGCAATTGTGCAAACCTTCCTCGGTAACGATTACAACTGCAGGTTCGTTCACTTTTCGGTACTGCAATTTCCATCGAATCGATATTACTGACTGACCCGATTTCTAATATACTACTTTTAAATTCTCTTATTTCTAAGATCAAAATATTACAAATTTTCAGATCGTCACAATGTGAAGAAATCAGGAGCTGAAGAATATGTGGAACTTTCGAATGCCAATAGGAATTTAGGTATCTAAGGATTTATGCATTTAGGGGTATTAGAATCTAGGAATCTAGAAATATTTGAGGATCTAGGGATTTAGGGATTTGGGGATATAGGGAGGTGGGAATGTAGGAATTTGGGGATTTGGGGATATCTAGGGATTCGGGGATATAGGGATTTGGGGAACTAGGGATTTGGGGTTCTAGGGATTTGGGGATCTAGGGATTCGGGGATCTAGGGATTCGGGGATCTAGAGATTTGGGGATCCAGGGATTTGGGATTCGTGAGATTTGGGGATCTAGGGATTTGGGGATCTAGGGATTTGGGATTCGTGGGATTTGGGATTCGTGGGATTTGGGATTCGTGGGATTTGGGATTCGTGGGATTTGGGATTCGTGGGATTTGGGATTCGTGGGATTTGGGATTCGTGGGATTTGGGATTCGTGGGATTTGGGATTCGTGGGATTTGGGATTCGTGGGATTTGGGATTCGTGGGATTTGGGATTCGTGGGATTTGGGATTCGTGGGATTTGGGATTCGTGGGATTTGGGATTCGTGGGATTTGGGATTCGTGGGATTTGGGATTCGTGGGATTTGGGATTCGTGGGATTTGGGATTCGTGGGATTTGGGATTCGTGGGATTTGGGATTCGTGGGATTTGGGATTCGTGGGATTTGGGATTCGTGGGATTTGGGATTCGTGGGATTTGGGATTCGTGGGATTTGGGATTCGTGGGATTTGGGATTCGTGGGATTTGGGAATCTAGGGATTTGGGATTCGTGGAATTTGGGGATCTAGGGATTCGGGGATCTAGGGATTCGGGGATCTAGGGATTTGGGAGTATAGGGATTCGGGGATCTCGGAATTTGAGGGTATAAGGGTTTGGGGGTATAGGGATTCGAGGATCTAGGGATTCAGGGATCTAGGGATTCAGGGATCTAGGAATTCAGGGATATCTAGGGATTTGGGATTCGTGGAATTTGGGGATCTAGGCATATTGGAATCTGGAAGTCTAGGAACCTGGGACAAGGGTTTCTAAGCTATTAAAAATCTGGGGATTTAGGGATTTAGAGACCAAGAAACCTGGGTATTTAGAATTCTAGGGTTCTAGGATACAAAATTTCTAGAGTTATAGAATTGTAAAGTTCTAGGATTTTAGGGTTTTGGAGTTCCACAGGTCCCTAGCAATCTAGGGATTTAAATTCTTAAATCTCCCTAAAATTTCCAAATTTCCAAATTGCTAAAGTTTTACAGTTTCGAAGACAAGTCCCTAAATTATAGAGCTGGTGTAACTAAATTTTATAATAAAAGTAATTTTTTTTGAGAGCGATAAAGTTGTTGAAACGTAAAATAAATTGTAAGAAGTAAGAATCGTACCTGAGGGGCCCATGACGGCCAAAAGTTGACCGGGTTTAACAATGCCCGAGACATCTCTTAGGAGAGACCGTTTCTCCTTGACCACCTGCAACCCCCGGAAGATTAACTGCACCGGACGAGAATCCAGCGGATACACCAACTGCAACGCTGAGCTTTCCACTCTGGAACAAACGAAAAAGAGATGGTTGATTAAAATCGGCGATCGATCGAACCGGTAGGTCTTGTTCGTTACCAGAAAGGGAAGACTTTGATTTTCCCTCGGAAAATTGGTAACAAGCTTCTTTTCAGCGATCGTTAACAACGAATCGCTCGGGGGATGAACGAGAGGAGAAGGTTCTTAATTGGAAGTTTCTTTCCTTTGTTGTTCCTTTTTTGGGAGGGTGCTTTCTTTCTTTTACGGAGGAATTAATGAGAAGGGAGTAGGGTGAGTTGACTCGGTGTTCCATTGCGGTCTTTTGCCATTGTCCTCCTGAATGCCGGGTTAATGAATATATTTCAATCGAACCCTCTGATTAGCTTTCAAACGTCTCTGCGAGTATTTTAACCGAAAAATATTAAGTTATTACGCTGTGAATTTTAGTCTGAAGCTTCGGGTATTTGAGAATACTTAAGTAAACATCCGAGTTACAGTTAGAAAAGTCAATCTTTTTAATTAAAGCGAGAAAGTTTCCGTCTGTCCGATATCATAGCGTAATTGTTCTTGAACTCGTGAACGCGGAAAGAGCGCTCGAATTTCGAAACTCTCCGCTTCCATTTCACGAACAGTTGTCTTCGTAATAACAATGACGTGCCATCGAAGCTATTCCACGACAACAATTAAGACAGACACGCGTTCATGTCTGGAATCAGACCATGTCAAACAAGATCTGGCTCGCTTTCAAATGAAATATTCAACCTCTAACTCCGACGTTCATTCTCTTCTTCGATCCGATCGAAATCGGACAAAATGTTAATTGAACTCGTTGACGCTCGATATTGGACCACGAATAGCGTTGAAATTTCCCGAAAATCGACCAGTATTTTTACATAAATATGAGCGAGAAGATTCACCGTCGACGAAATTATTCAAATGGCGGGATGAAGAGATTTCCATGAAACAACGGGGAATATTTGATGGAAGCGATAAATCGATTTTTTGATCGTATGGAAACAACGTGCCGTTCAACTCGAATGGAATGGATGTTTTGCGAGATGATCAGGGACGGGAAAACGGTTTCTGCAAGGTCGTTCGAAAGCTGCCGAGAGAATAACCCATCAATTAAGGCGAGCAAGGAACATCTTCACTCGTGCGAGCCCATATAAGAGGAATCAATCTCGCAACTTTCCAATGGATTTCCAAGGAGAATAGAAAAGCCAGACACCTTGTAAAGAGGGAAGTGAATTGCCGGTTGGACGACACCGAACTCGATTGGAAAACGGCGGATACACTTTTCAATTGAACGATCGCGATACGATTAACCGATTAAATGTCGGGTGATTATCTTTCGTTGGAGATAGCGTTTCGAGTTGAAAATTCTATATTACTATTTTTCAGATACTAGAGATGTTTGAGTTTATACAATTTTATGGTACAGAGTTCTTGAGTTATTTTGGAGTTTTAGAAATACATAAGTGGAAAGGGTTTAAGAGCAAACTTTAGAGTTCTGGCAAAGTTTAGAGTTCCGAGTTACAGAAGGATTAGAGTTCCCAAATTCTGAAAGCTCTGGTGGTTTCAAGTATCAAAATTTTGGAGTCTCCGAGGTACTGGAAATTAGAGTTCTCGAGTTCCCGAAATTTTAGAGTTCCCAAGCTTCAGAAATTTTAGAGTTCTCGAGTTTCAGAAATTTTAGTTTCCATGCTTCAGAAATTTTAGAGTTCTCGAGTTTCAGAAATTTTAGAGGTGTCAAGCTTCAGAAATTTTAGAGTTCTCGAGTTCCAGAATCTTTAGAGTTCCCAAGCTTCAGAAATCTTAGAGTTCCCAAATTCCAGAAATGACAGAGTTCTCGAGTTCCAAAAATTTTAGAAATCCCGAGTTCCTGAATCTTTAGAGTTCTCGGGTATCTGGAATTTTAGAGATCTCGAGTTCCAGGAATTTTAGAGTTCCGGTGTTTGAGAAATTTTAGAGCTCTCGAGTTCTGGAAATTTTAGAGTTTCCAAGCTTCAGAAATTTTAGAGCTCTCGAGTTCCAGAAATTTTAGAACTTCCAAGCTTCAGAAATTTTATAGTTCTCGAGTTCCTGAATCTTCAGAGTTCTCGAGTCTCAGGAATTTTACAGTTCCCGAGTTCCAGAAATTTTAGAGTTCTCGAATTCCAGAAATTGTAGAGTTCTCGAATTCCTCAAACTGTGGAGTTCCCGAGTTCCAGAAGTTTTAGAGTTCTCGAGTTTCTGAAACTTTAGAGTTCCCGAGTTCCATAATCTTTCGATTTCTCGAGTTCCAGAAATTTTAGAGTTCTCAAGTTTCAAAAGTTTAAGAGTTCTCGAGTTTCAAAAGTTTAAGAGTTCTCGAATTTAAAAAGTTCAAGAGTTCTCGAGATTCGAGAAGTTTGTAGTTCTTGAGTTTCTAAAATGTAGAGTTCTTGAGTTTTGAAATTCTTAAATTCTAAAGTTATCGAGTTACTAACTCCATAACTCTTCAGCGAATTAAAATTGCAGAGCTCTGAAGTTCTTGACTTCGCTGTTTGTGTTCTATGATACAGATGTGAATTAAAAAAGCGTTTCCTCGACAGTGATACATGTTTCACGTATCACTGGACTCAGATAAACGCAAAGAAACGCGACGCTTCTGGCGATAGTAAAATAGCTGTTTGCACGTAATCCGAGTATTTCCTAGTAAACAACGAAACGCTGCTATTTAATTTTACACCTGCGTTAGATGAAATTTCATTCGTGCTTTCTTCGGAGTCTTCAACCGTGTCTCTCGTAAACTTATTAATCGTCCAGTCACCTTAAACTAGACAGTCTACAAGTTTTATAGCTCTCTAAATTTCTCGAGTTCCAAATCTTTTTACTTTTAAAATCGAGTTGTACAAATTCAAATTTCTAAGTTTCAGGATTTTTGAGTCTGCAAGTTCTAGGGTTCTCGAACTCCTACATTCCTAAATAAATTTTCAAATTGCAAATTATAAGATTGAAAAAACTCTAGAATGATGGAGTTCTAAGATAGAGTTCTATACCCTGGAATTCTTAATTTTTCAACTTCTCAAATATTTGAAGAGTGTTCTTAATTTTAAGGTTTAGCGACTAGAAAATATCTAAATTCGCAGATATCTAAACTCCGATATCCTCAACTTGGCAGCAAGTTATAAAATTTGAAAGCTTTCAATTGAAGTTGAAAAGCAGCAAAAGAGTGCGCCGCAAAAGCGACATCCCAGAAATATCAGCTCTCCACACACCTCTTTCGCCAGCCGTCCGAATTCCATCGGCGTCCACCAACGAACCTGTTCGCCTCGGCATCCCTTTGTCGATGCCCGTGGTTATCCACGACGACGCTTCTGCTCGACGCCTGGCACGTGACGACGCCTGTTACGCCGACCGATCCTCCCCCGATTTCAATCGGAAAGGAACTAAACCCGAGGCGCGTATAGTGGAACGGTCGGTCGCGTCGCGATACACAAAAAGCGGGGGTCGTTGGACAACGAAGTCAGATAATAAATTCCCAACATGGCAGTATCACGTCATCCAACGGGGTTCGTTGAACTCGACGACGTTGCACGACAGACCCGAAGGGGGAGGAAAGACGAGGGACAATCAGAGAGACAGAGAGAGACAACGCCAGGGAAAAAGGGGATATGAAAGAGCGAGAAACTGGGGAGCGACTCGTTTCGTGATATTTATCGACTATCGAAACTATCGTGTGATCTCACCTGCGGGGTGCTGGTTTTCATCTTTTTCTTCTAGTTATAGGATGATAGTATGCGTTATAGGTTAGATTGTATGCGTCATAAGTTAGTATGCGTCATATGTTATAACGTATGTTCAATTTCTAAATTTCTACGTGTTTGGATTTATATATTTTTAGGTTACCATGTGATATTTGTGGAGTATCGAAAGTATCGTATCATCTGACCTGCGGGTGCTCTAAGTTTTCATCTTTTTCCTCTACTTATGGATATACAGTCAGTATGCGTCATAGGTTAGGCTACGTCATATGTCATATGGAAACGTATATGCAATTGTATTTGGATTTATATATTCCTAGTTTGCCATGTTTCTATGTATGTATACGTTGATCTCTAAATTAGAGCCTCAGAACTCTAGATTTATAATATTTCCAAATCTCAAGATTAGGTCTGAAGAGGTCTAGGTCTTCACATATCAAGATCCTCAGATTCCTAGATCTGACGCTCCTAGACCTCTATATCTCTAGATTTGAATGTGCCTAAGTTATCGTGTTGTTGGATTCATCGATTCCTAGCTCCCAATGTTCCTAGATCCATGTGATTCGATTCGTTGAACTCTACATCTCTACATATCTAGATTCACCGAACCCTAAATTCCGATGTCCTCAGTTCCAAATTTGCAGCTCTTAATATTCCAAGATTTCTAAATTCCTGGGTCTTGGTATACCAACATCTTCACATTCCTAGTACCAGAATTTTCTAAATACGTAAATGCCTAGATTTCCATGTACCTAAATTCCCAAACTCCGAATCGACAAATCCTAAGTCTTTAAATCTCTAGAACCCAAATCCTTGTATTCTCAGATATCTATAACTTTCGCCATAACACTTAATCCCTATAGCCCCAAATCCCTATAACCCTTAATCCTCGTAACCAGAAATCCCTATGAACCTTGATCCTCGTACCCAAAAATCCCTATAATCCTCGATACCTATAAACTTTGATCCTCGTACCCAAAAGTTCTTATAATCCTCGATCCTTGCATCTAAAAATTCCTATAACCCTCGATTCCTATAAACCTTGATCCTCGTACCCAAAAATCTCTATAACCCTGGATCCCTATAAACCTTGACCTTGTACCCAAAAATCCCTATAACCCCCGATCCTTACAAACCCTGATCCTCGTGCCAAAAAATCCCTATAACCCCCGATCCCTATAAACCTTGAATCTCGTACCCAAAAATCCTTATAAGTCCCGATCCCTATAAACCTTGATCCTCGTATCCAAAAATCCCTATAACCCCCGATCTCTATAAACGTTAAACCTCGTATCCAAAAATC